GTTCTTGTTATGGCTCTCACTTCTTTAGGGTATATACCTAGTAATGGGATGGCTGGGTCAAATGGTATTTGTATTTCCAACTTTTTAAGGAATTTATGCGGTGTTTTGCAGACTCTACATTATTCGTTAGTGCTGCATAGCATTCCATTATGTGTATGTACCATAGTTTGGTCATCGACTCTTCCACTGATGGGCCCATAGGTTGTTTCCATCTTTCTGCTGTTGTAAATAGTGCTGCGATGAACATGAGTGTGCATGTATCTGTTCCTATCCTGGCTCTCACCTCTGTAGGATGTATACCTAGTAATGGGATTGCTGGGCCAAATGGTGTCTCCAATTCCAGCTTTCTAAGGAATCACCATATTGCTTTCCACAGTGGTTGTATCACTTCACAGTCCCACCAGTAGTGTATGAGAGTCCCAATCTCTCCACATCCCCATCAGCATTTGTTATTTTCTGTCTCATTGAACCTTGCCATCAGTGCTGGGGTGAGATGGTACCTCACTGCTATTGTGATTTGCATATCTCTGATGGCCAGTGATTGTGAGCATCTCTTCATGTATGAGCTGACCACCTGAATATCCTCCTTGGTGAAGTGTCTATTCATGTCTTCTGCCCATTTTTCAATTGGATGGTTAATCCCTTTGCTCTTGAGGTGTTGGAGTTTTCTGTAAATCTTAGAGATAAGTCCCTTGCCAGATATGTAATCATCGACAAGTACGAATTTGTTGCTGTCATTTTGTTACGTGCTTTTTCATGGTGTCAATTTATTTGTTGCATTTAATTTTCTGTGCTGAGCTCATTTTGTTTATGAATCGTGTTATCACTTCCTTCGTTGCTGTTTTAGTATTTGCTGAATATATGTGCTGGTCCTCTTTTTTATTTTGATGTGAAGATTTATCATTTTTCTTTGAAGTTACCCTGTGTTTTGGTTCCCTAGTGCCGCTCTGACAAGAATATACCACAAATGGGATGACCTTAACAAACAGGAGTTTATTCTTTTACGCTTTAGAGGATTTACGTCCAAGTTCAAAGTGCCAGGCTGTGGGGGGCGGGGGGTGAAAGCCCCTCAACCTTGGGGTCCAGCTCTGCTTCCTGCTCCCAGCCCACTGGAGCTAGAGGCTTTTCTTCACTCAGACAGCTGCTGGATGCCAAGACTGAGAACCCCAAGGTTGACAAATAAAAAGGCACAGTCCCAATGTTACCAATCCACACGGCAGGCCGTTGGTATTTTTTAAGTCTATTGTAGGTCCCAAGGTCGCAGAGCATGGCAGGCTTCTGAACAACGACACGGCTACGTGCAGGGTCCAAGGTGCCATAAGCTAGAGACTATCGCCAAGGCCTCTCCTTAACACAGGAAGCAGACCCCAGCCCTAAGGCAGCTCCTCGGCTGCTCACGGTAGATTTCACCATGGAGTTGATTGCCAGTCTCGTCATGGGGAACAACTACCACCAGCTGCCCAGCCATTCAATCAGGCCCAACCAAGTTGACACACAAATTTAACTACCACACCCTGTTATTTATGCTTTTCTTCCCAAGTTTAGAACAGTCATTCTATCTTGTAGTTGTCTTGATTTCCCTACTATTTAGAAATTCTGTAACTACGCAATTTTTTCCCTCTTTTTGGTTTGTAGTTGTCCTCATTTGTCAGTTGATGTCTCTGGTTCCTTGTTTACAATCTTGTAGGCTTATTTACTTTGGATACTGCCATAGCTGGGTTGGTTTCTGGGTTACGTCATCATGTGTCTTAATGGTCAGCTGTTGTTGGCTGTTGTTGATCCTCTGTCCAAAGGGCTCCCTTTAGCATCTCTTAGAAGCTTTGTCTGGTCTGAACAAATTCCCTTAATACCTGCTTATCTGGAAATGTCCTAATATCACCATCATATTTGAGGGACAATTTTGCTGGAAAAATAATTCTTCGTTGGATATTTTTCTCTTTCAGAGTTTTGTATATACCATTCCATTGTCTTCTCACCTGCATGGTTTCTGCCAAGAAATCTGAGCATAGTCTTATTGGTTGCCCCTTGTAGGTAACTTTTTGTTTTTTCCATGCTGCTTTCAGGATTCTTTCTTTGTCTTTGGTTTTGGTGAGTTTAATGATATGCTTTGGTGATTTTCTTTTGGGTTCTGTCCTGTTTGGGGTTTGTTGGACTTCTTGAATGGGTATAGTCTCATCTTTCATCATACCAGGAAAATTATCTTCCAACAAATCTTTGAGAATTTTGTCTGCGGTTTTATTTGTCTCTTCCTCTTCTGGAATTACAATTACAGGTAGGTTATTCCTTTTGATGGTATCCCACATGAACCTTAGGCTTTCTTCATTTTGTTTTGATCTTTTCTCTGATTGATCCCTTTCCAAAGAAGTAGTGAGGTATTTGCCTTCCATCTCACTAATACTGTCTTCCATTGATTCAATTCTACTCCTTTGTCCTTTTAATGTGTTAACTATTTCTGAAAATTTTGTGTTAATCTTCTGGATTTCTGTGTGTAGATTTTATATCATTTCTAATTTTTCATTTATTTTGTCATTTTGTTCTTATATTATCTTTTGAATTTGTTCTAGGGTTTTGTCTGTATTTTCCTCAATTTTGTCAGTGTTTTCCTTGATATGTTTCTCAATTCTTTGAAGGTACCTAAATATAATTCTTTTGAATTCCTTATCAGGGAGTTCCAATGCTGTGTCTTGTTCAGGGATGTGTTTTAGATCTGTATCCTGGTCCCTTGTTTCACCTGCTTTATCTTGCTTCTTTGTGTGGATTGTGATGCTCTGTTGTCTCTGAGGCATTGTGACGTTTTTGTGTTTATATTTAATTGGTGATTGTATGTTGGAGTGACTTGCCCACGATTTTCGTTTTCTTTGTTTCGTTTGTATGTATCTACACAAGCAGGGTACCGTGTTGTGCTCCTCTGTTTGCTAGTTGGCACCACTTATTCACTCACCACTTGTCTCCTTTCCTATTGTCAGCCTCCCATATGTCCCTGCTGTCCTTGGCAAACGGAGTCTATTCTTAGGTCCTTGGAATGCACATGAGAATGCTGTCACTTTAAAATCCAAAATGGCCACCACTTGTAAAGATTTAAAATGGCTGCACCCTTGGTCACTTTAAATATCCAAAATGGCCATGGCTTGTAAACATTCAAAATGGCTGCGCCCTCTAGACAGCCAAAAGTCCTCAGCTCAGGTTGTCTCTCTCTTTGCTGTTTCCCTCCCTAGTCATAGGCCACCAGTGCAGTCGTCCCTGTATTACCAGAGCCACCACGGGACATGCTAATGCCGAGCAGGATGGTAAAAAGGAAGGACTTTTGTTGTGTTGACACCCAGCTCAGTGTATTCACATCCAGAGAATGAACACTGAAGAAAGGCTGCATGGGGCTTTTATAAGTTTCTGTTTATGAGATTGATGGATTGTGAGGTGATTTTAAAAGATGCAAGCCAGCAGTTTTACAGAAGGAAATGAAGTGGGTGAAAGGAGGAAGTGGAAGGAGGGAGGTGGAGCATCAGTAGAGGAATTTCCCACTCTCTTAGTTTTGATTCACAAACTGGGTGTGTCTTGCCTCACCTGTAGCCCTTGGTCATGAGGTCTGATCTTTTGGTCAATTCTCAGGTCCCAACACCACTTGGAAATATTCACACTGTTGGTCCTGTCAGAATAGCTGACAGTCTGCAGCTCCAACTCTCTCCGTACTCACTGTTTTCATTCAGGTTTTTCCACTACTTGGTGCCTAATCCACGTCTGTATAGTCCCTTTCAAAGCTCAGGGCTCCAGGATTATCTTCTGTATCTCTGTCAATTGGTTTCTCTTTTCTTTGTTGAAGAGGGTCTGTGTAGCCTGTCTGCCTATTCCACCATCTTACCGGAAGTCTCTTCTTCAGAATTTTTAAGAACAACAAAGCTTTTATCTTATTTGCTACTGATGTGTACTCAGTAAGATTCTGGTCATGTGTTCACAGTCAGTGAGATCCTGGTCTTGTGTACACATTCACGCAATGAAATCCTGGTCACCTGTGCACATTCACTCAGTGAGATCCTTATGAGGTGTACATAGTCAATGAGATCCTAGTCACATGTACACATTCATTCAGTGGGATGTTGGTCATGTGTGCACAGTCATTCAGTGATAATCCTTGTCATGTGTACACATTCACTCAGTGAGATCCTGGTCACGTGTGCAGCATAGGCACTGAATGAAACTTGGTCACGTGTACACAGTCACTCAATGAGATCCTGGTCACGTGTACACATTCACCCAGTTAGATCCTGGTCACGTGGACACAGTCACCCAGTGAGATCCTGGTCACGTGTACACAGTCACTGTGAGATCCTGGTCATGTGTACACAGTCAGTGTGAGATTCTGGTCACGTGTATGCATTCACTCAGTGAGATCCTGGTCACGTGTATGCATTCACCCAGTGAGATCCTATCCTGGTCATGTGTATACATTCACTCAGTGAGATCCTATCCTGGTCATGTGTACACAGTCCCTCAATGAGATCTTGGTCAGTTGCTTTGGTGAATCTGAGCAGGTGATCTTTCTGGTGATATTTTTTGTAGCTTTTATCTTTGTGTCTCCATTTTGGGGGGATCTGTGAGTGGGTACTCATAGGGCTCTGGTAGCCTAGTGCCTAAGGTATTTGACTGCTAACCAGAAGGCTGGCAGTTCAAACCCAACAGCCCCTCCTCAGAAGGAAGACTTGGGCAATCTACTTCCATAGTGATAACACCTTGGAAACCCAAGGAGAGGTTGCTATGAGTGGGAACCAACTTGATGGCAGTGAATTGGTTTGGGTTTGATGAGTGAGTACCTTCAGCAGTTCTTACAGCCCCCTTTTCCTGTGTAGGTGTTAGATGGTACCAACAGCCAGTACTCGGGAATGCACATTGGACAGCTGCAGGACGAAGATGAGGAAGCCGCCGGTGTTCTTCCTGATGAGGCCACTGACACCTTCGGAAACTCTCCTGTCGGTGCGTGCTTGTTCTCAGCTCCAGATGTTTGGTCGTCACCGCAGGCCGTGTTTCCTCGTCTGTGTTTCTGAGTGTGTGTGGCAGTGGGGACACCTGGCCTTCCCGTTGGTCTGCGTCCTGTGCCTCCGGGTCATCTTTCCATAAATGTGTGTGCCTGGGTGTGGATTGGAAGCCACCGGCTTGCAGACCTTTCTCTTTCACTGCACCCTCTGTCTTTGCAGCTCACCAACACGCACATTTCCTGGAGAGCAGGCCGTCTTTGGACAGCAGTGTGGATAAATTTCCATCCAGAGATGAGGCTGCTGAGCTGGGTGACCAGGACAACAAGGTGAGGGTGCCCGCCCGTTTCTGAAGGTTGGTGAGTTTTTAACCACCCTGGCTCAAGGCTCGTCATCAAGCCTGTTGCTCCTGATGCTGGGCTTCTGCACAGACTCTTTCCCTGAAGCCCCGACAGTGTCCCCGGGGTACGCTTCCTTCCCGCCACTCCGGTGGCCATAAATCACTTCAGGCTCTGCCTCCTTCAGGACCTTCCTGCACGGATCCGCCCTGTGCTGGTTGCCGCCTCGCTGCACGGCTGTAGCTTTGACTTGAATCGTCCCTTGATGACCAGAGTAGCCTTGCAGCACTGCTGGTTTTTGTTGCATCGCTGTTGTTCACTGCCAGTGAGTTGGCCCCCACTCACAGTGACCCTGTGCCCAGCAGAACAGGACGCTCCTGGTCCTATGCTGTCCCGTCACTCACTGCAGATTGGACTAGTGATCCATAGGTTTTTTCTACTTCTGTAATTCAGTGACACTGGTGAAGTTCTTGAGCCCTTCTTACGCTCCTTCTCCAGATCATCCCACTACCATTCACAAGAAATCGGTGCCCTAAACAAAAACACCTCCTGCCCCCTCCTCCCACTGTGGTATCCACTCATGATTGTTGGTTTCTGTGTATTTGCTTATATCAGGTAAGTCAGATCATACGGTACTTGTCTTTATGACTCAGTTCCTTAGATCAGCGTGATGCTTTCACAGTTCACACTAGTGGTGTGCATCAGGACTTCATTTCTCTTTATAAACCCACTGCCGTGGAGTCGATTCTGACCCACAGCGCCCCTAGAGGACAGAGTGGAACTGACCCACAGGGTTTCCCAGGCTGTCAGTCTTCACAGAAGGAAAGCCCAAACCATACCCATTGCCATGGAGTCCATTCTGACCCACAGCACCCCTAGAGGACAGAGTGGAACTGACCCAGAGGATTTCCAAGGCTGTCAGTCTTTATGGAAGCAGACTGCCACTGCGGAGCGGCTGGTGGGTTCAAATTGCCAACTTTTTGGGTGGCAGCCACCAGAGAGCCTTTGTCTGCTGAGTGCTGCCCCATTGTGTGCACACACTATGTTTTGTTTCCATTCGTGGCATTTCAGTTGTTTCCATCTCTTGGCTGTTGTCCAAGTACTGGAGTGAACATCGGTGTCACAGGGTCTTAGAAGAGCTTTGAAATCCTCTGTTGGTATTTACCTTTCCACATGACGTTTCGCTTGGCTTAAAATTCCCCGAGGGCAGAAGTGGTGCTTTATAGTCAGATCCTTAGTTGATGCTCAGTCACCTACAATGTCAGCAGCCCCTCCCAGTTCCTGTCACACCAGGCTCACCCCTCTCCCCGTGGGCGTTCCCCACATCTTTTCCTGCACTGAGTGGTGTCTGTTTGTCCTATGGAGCAGACTCTTGCTTATCCTCAAGCAGCCTTCCCTGAACATGCGTCTTCTCTGCCTGCTTTGCAAGGTGCCTCCCTGCACGCCGAGTGTGTGGCCCTGTCACAGCACATGTACCCCTGTGTCACAGGCGCCTGTTGATGTGTTGGCTTTCTGTCCATTCGTGACCTCTGGGAGGTCAGGCGTGACTTACACAGAAACGCGTCCTTGCATCGCCAGCAGCTAGCACAGTCGCTGCTCTCGAACTGTTTGTTAAGTGAGTTAATGAATGACTGTGTCAGTTCTTTGATGACAAGGAACATGATGTCAGTGCTGTGTTCCAGCCTTGCAGAGTCAAAGGTGACATAGGACAGTCTACTGATGAAGATGCCGCGCCTCTTGTCCATTGTGTCCGCCTCATATCGGCTTCGTTTTTGCTAACTGGGGAAAAGAATGGTACGTGTGGGAGACCAAGGGCAGAGGTGAGGGCAGTGATGTTGGGTTTCAGAGGCCAGCGTGGTGGCCGGTGTTTGGCCTTGTTGATGTGACAGAGAGAGTGGATTTGAGGGTGACTTTGGTTTGTGCTTCCTGCTGGGAGAATGGGGAGGCTGTTGAGGCGGTTGGTGTGTGGTCTAGTTTTGTCGACTTGAGATGAAATGTTCGGTGCTCTGAGGCCGAGTCCCCACCGTGGGTTTTCTGCAGCACTGGTTCCGGATCGGGACGTCAGGGTGAGTGTGAAGGCGCTGGCGGTCAGCTGTGTCGGAGCAGCTGTGGCCTTGCACCCGGAATCTTTCTTCAGCAAACTCTACAAAGTACCTCTGGACACCACGGACTACCCTGGTATGTTGGAAGTTTACATCTTACTCCTCATGTTGTCGTTATTTTTAAAACAACTTCAGGTAGTCTTGACTTTTCCGTTAGGACAATAAGATTTTTTTAGTTAATTTGTGGTTTTTGAACTGTGTTGCATCTCCCTAAAACGTGTGCATGAGAATGTTTAGGTCTTGGGACCTGTTAGATGCAGCGTTGATAACTGATACACACAACCAAAGTAGAAATCTGGGGACACACGCGCACGCTGGACTTACACCTGAAGCACAAGTTGTGTCTCGTCAGAATTGCCTCCTCTCACACTCACAGGCAGGTGTTCACACTCACAGGCAAGTGTTCATACACACGGGCTGGTGTTCCCTCATAGGGAAGTGTTCACACTCACAGGCTGGTGTTCCCTCATAGGAAGGTGTTCACACTCACAGGCAGGTGTTCACACTCACAGGCTGGTGTTCCCTCATAGGCAGGTGTTCACACTCACAGGCAGGTGTTCATACGCACAGGCTGGTGTTCCCTCATAGGCAGGTATTCACACTCACAGGCAAGTGTTCATACTCACAAGCTGGTATTCCCTCGTAGTCAAGTATTCACACTCACAGGCGGGTGTTCACACTCACGGGCAAGTGTTCATACTCACAGGCTGATATTCCCTCATAGACAGGTGTTCACACTCACAGGCAGGTGTTCACACTCACAGGCAGGTGTTCACATTCACAGGCTGGTGTTCCCTCTTGGCAGGTGTTCATACTCACAGGCAGTTGTTTACACTCACAGGCAGGTGTTCACACTCGCTGGTATTCCCTCATAGGCAGGTGTTCACACTCACAGGCAGGTGCTCACTCACAGGCTGGTGTTCCCTCATAGACAGATGTTCACACTCACAGGCAGGTATTCACACTCACAGGCTGGTGTTCACACTCACAGGCTGGTATTCCCTCATAGGTAGGTATTCACACTCACAGGCAGGTGTTCACATTCACAGGCTGGTGTTCCCTCATAGGCAGGTGTTCACACTCACAGGGAGTGTTCACACTCCTAGGTAGTTGTTTGCTCACACTAGGTGGTATCGAGGCAGTAGTAAAGATGCTTTCCATCCCCCATTGCACACACGCTTGGGGACCTGGCTTCTCTTTCTCTGTTTCTGGCTGAGGGGGTAGAATTGTGCTGTTGAAGGCATAGGTTAATGTGTAGGTTGAGTTATTTTAATCTGCTTCTTAATTTGATGCTGGAATTGTGAGGATTTAATAATTTAGAATCGTGATCCAGATAGTCTCGTGTGTGTCAGTGCTGTCATGGGTGTGCTGGCTCTAGAAACTCTTCAATCCCAAGCGTTTTTACCAGTTATGACGGTGATTGTCGAGGCGTTTCTGGATTTGGACAGCTCCACCCTGCCCCTCTTCTCCTTTCTTGGGACTTAAGCTTCTGCGTTGAGTTAGGAAGGTGATGGTGAAGACTGTCCCTCACCAGGCACTTTGTCTCCCCAGAGGGACAGTATGTGTCGGACATCCTCAACTACATCGATCACGGAGACCCGCAGGTCCGAGGGGCCACTGCCATCCTGTGCGGGACCCTCATCTACTCCATCCTCAGCCGAGCCCGCTTCCACGTGGGCGACTGGCTGGGTACCCTGCGAAGCCTGACAGGTGACTGCTGTGTGCGAGTGCGTCTCCAGGGTCCCTTTCGAGGCGGTGGCCACATGACGCTGTTTGTTGTTTGCCCCCTGCTCAGGAAACACGTTCTCGCTGGCGGACTGCGTTCCTTTGCTGCAGAAAACCTTGAAAGACGAGTCTTCAGTTACTTGCAAGTTGGCCTGTACGGCTGTGCGGGTGAGTATCTTTTGTGGAAACCAATTGTGATTTGTCGACATTTTCCTGTTGCTAACATCACAATTGGAGCTGAATAGAAAACAGTGCTTTGTAAAGCTGTAAGCGGTCGGAATTTGCTCACCACTCAGCTTAAGAAAGAAAAACACGGCAGATGAAATTCAATTGCGGTTAACTTGAGTTTAAGTCTCACTGTTTGTTTGACACATACCCATTTAAAAGGAGCATGTTTAGAAATACACTTTGCTTAACATTCAGCATAAAGTCTGTTTTTAAAAGTTGGCTGTTAGGCTGTAGAGCGTTGAGACGTAAGGTGGGCCTTAGGGAGGACTTGCCTCAAGCTGTGTCTTTCGTGTGTGAGTGAGCTGCAACCAGCAGAGTGGCCTCGAGTGATGGAACAGTCGCCCTTTCAGCCTGAGCTGCTTGATGGCTGCACCCGCCCAATGGCACTGGACATCTACCTGAAACAACGAAACCCAAAAATCTTGATTGTCAGACTGATAGGACACTTCCCATTTTAAAAATTTCACAGTCTGGCAAGAATCTTCCCCTTGTTCCAAAAGTTTACCAACTCCAGTCAGCCTTGTCTTCCCCCTCCTGAGCGGAAGGAAGCGTGCTTGGTGACCCGGTGACTTCGCCGACCTGAGTCTGCATGCCCCCCCCATGTGTGGTGATGGCTTGAGTGGGTCGGGGAGGACAGGGCAGGGAGAATGGCAGTAACGCTCGGGGCCAGTCCTTGGGCAGCAGAGGCTCTCGAAGTAGAGGGACACCCAGCGGGCATGCACTGTGTTTCCCAAATGCCTGGGGTCCCTGTCCTTGAGCGGGCCCTCAGCGGCGTCTGAGCAGCGGTAGTTGACGTGTCTTGTGTGGGCGCTCTCTTTGCACTGACACATGTGCGAGCTGCTCTGTGGGGCTCAGGCACTGGACAGGAGTGGAAGTAGGAGGGAGAGGACAGCACAGTGCTGGGAGAGGGACCCGTTTGAGACCGATCTGTTTTCTGAGATAGAGTGTAGGCTGTAACCACTTCCTGCCGAGAGCCACGGAAGGGGGTCTGGGTACACAGCCCGCACGCACAGAGCAGCGCGTCGGGCCGCAGCTGCGGCGGGGCTGAGTGGACGCTGTCCCGGCGCCCTGTGTTGCAGCTCTGTGTCATGAGCCTGTGCAGCAGCAGCTACAGCGAGTTGGGACTGCAGCTGGTCATCGACATGCTGCCTCTGCGGAGCAGCTCCTACTGGCTGGTGAGGACAGAGCTCCTGGAAACGCTGGCAGAGATTGACTTCAGGTGAGTGAACGAGGCCATTAGGCTTAACAAACTGAAGCAGGGGTCGAGGGACAGCTCCTGGGCTGTGCGTGTGCTGACGGTCGGCAGCTACCCTGTCCTCTACGATCCCAGTGGCTCTTTGCGGAACCTTGTCCTGTACTGAGGGTTTCTTAGTCGTCCCCATGGGGTGGGTCTTCTGCGATTCTTGGCCTCAGCACGCACTGCACAGTGGGAGTGAAGGCTGAAGGGCTCTGAATTCTCCACCTTTGTCTTAAGCTTTGAAACGTGTGCCGCTCACACCGATCCTGTTTGAGAGAATTGCACAGGGTAACACAGCGGATCTGTATTTTGCTGCAGTTAAAGATGGCTTTTGATGTGTTGCAGGTTCGTTTCCTAAGGGTATGTTTTGCTTGGAAATGCTTTCTTCCAGTGTTGTCCTTTAGAAGGGATGCTATACCCTTGTGATCCAGATTTTCTTTTCTTTTTGAAGCCACCGTTTGTAGAGTTCATGTCCTACTTGGGTCATTTTATTTGATCTTCAGAACATCCCCTGGGAATCAGGAAATTTCAGCCTGGGAGGGAAATAGCTTGCCTGAGGCCACACAGCCAGTCCCTGGGGAGCTGGGAAGAAACTTGGGCTCCACTCCAAGGTCACTTCACTTCTGGGCTGTGCGTTTGATCTAACTCTTCAGGGCTTTTAGGGTATTGAAAACGAACAGATGTTTACGTGTCTTTTCGAGGAGACTTAGTAGCTCAGCAGTTAAGCTCTCAGTTGCTGACCGATAAGTCAGTGACTGGAGCCCACTGGCCTCTGTGGGAGGAAGATGTGGCAGTCTGTTTCCACAGAGATTACCTAAAGCCTTGGAAACCCTATGGGGTGGTTCTACCCTGTCCAGCAGGGTCACTGTGAGTTGGAATCAACTCGAAGGCAGCAGGGTTAGGTTTGGTGGTTTGTTTATGTGTTTTCAAGAAAACATAGTTTGTTGAGCTGAGTCTAGAATTCAGAACGGGATGTCAATTCTTCTGATTTAAAGGCAGTCTTCCTGTTACCTGAGTACGTGCAGACTCTCAGAGCCTTCGGGGCAGACCCCTGGGACACTTGTTCACTGTCACGTCTGCAAGGACTCGCAAGGTTGTCAGTGTGTGCCTGCTGCTTAATGGAATGATTCATTGCTAAATGTGGTTTTTTTAGGTTGGTGAGCTTTCTGGAGGCAAAAGCAGAAAACTTGCACAGAGGGGCTCATCATTACACAGGGGTAAGTGGTCACCATCACGTGGGGGCGAGTGTCATCACACGGGGACGAGCGGTTGTCACATGGGAGCGAGTGGTTGTCACGGGGCTGAGTGTCATCGTCACTCGGGGTCGAGTGCTCACGCCATGCCTGGGCTTCAGCTTCCCTGAGCAGCCCACCGGCCCAGCAGTGTTGAATTTCTCTGCCTTTTGCTTCAGGCTCATTTCACGGTCCATTATCATGAAAGCTGTGGTTGGTTGACGTGAATTTCAGACAAGCAATCTTGAATTGCTTCTCTCTGGCTTTTCAGAAGAGCTAGAATTTTTTCAAATCGATTACATCTATTTTTGTTACTTTTTCTTTAAAGCTTTTAAAATTACAAGACCGAGTGCTCAATCACGTGGTCATTGGTTTGCTTGGGGACGAAGACCCCAGGGTGAGGCATGTGGCCGCTGCGTCGTTGATGAGGTATTTGCCACATTGTTTTACCTCCCTGCTCACTTGTTTTGTTGAAGTAACCTGGGCGGGCAGAGGGAAGGGTTAAAAGGACATCTGCAAGGACCATACCCACCACCACATACAGGTTTGGCAGACGGACTTTCTGCATATGTACATGTGTTTACTGCAGCAATGTCCATGCCTGTAGGACAGCTTACAGCAGGCAGAGTTGTGGAAACTTTGTGAGCTGTAACCAGACACCTGGAGGGAATGGGTCACTGGGTGTCTAAGGTACAACTGTTGGTCTCTCCTTATCTGGAGCAGAGAAGAGTGAAGAAAGTAAAATGCATAAAAACGGTTAGTGGAAGGGACTAGTGGACCGTGGGAACCTTAGCCCCCACAACCCTGACACCATAAGAGCTGGATGGTGGCTGGACGCCACAGCCAACCACTCTGAAAGGGATCATACTGGGAGATTATGGATAGAGTAGGAGAAAAATGTGGAACAAACTCAAAATCATGAAAAAGAGAGAGACTGGTGGAACCCTCAGGACTATGGCCCTTAGATACCTTTTGAGCTTGGAACTGAACTCACCCCCTTGGCTCAACTTTTAGCCGAACAGCGGACAGACATATCGGTAAATAGTAACACTAGGGAGGTCCACATTCTTAGAACAGCCAACCATGGGAGATGGAAAGGGCGTCATGTACCCAGGGAGAAAGCTCAAGGAGGAAGGGACAGGAAAGAAGGACGCCAGGACGTGGAGAGCACAGGGGCGTGGGGGAGAGAGCTGTTATGTCCTGGGAATTGCAGTCAGTGTCATGACATCACTGTGGAAAACTGGGTTGCTCTGTAAACTTTCATTCCAATCACAGTAAAAAGTTTAAAAAACAAAGAAAGGAAGGCTCTCAGGCCGCATTCCTGCATCTTTTGAGCTCGTGTGCAGCCATACTGCTCTTCAGCTGTCCAGAGTCTAACAGTGACCATCAAGGGCAACAGCACTGACCTCCGTTGGTAGAGCAGTGCACGTTCACTGTCGGAACTCTAGCGCCAGGAAGAAAACACCCCCTGCCGCCTGTGGAGAGAAGAGGCCTCCTGTCTGTGGCCGGTCTAGGAGGCTGCCACACCTGGTGGGGTCGGGAGGTGGGGGCATGAATGCAGCTCAGCTCACGGACTTCTTAGCAGAAAAACCCTCCTCTTCACGTTAGGCTTGTCCCCAAGCTGTTTTATAAGTGTGACCAAGGACAGGCCGACCCGGTGGTGGCTGTGGCGAGGGAGCAGAGCAGCGTGTACCTGAAGCTCCTAATGCACGAGATGCGGCCGCCGTCCCACTTCTCCGTCAGCACCATCACCAGGTACGGCGCTGGCGCAGCCCTGCCTCCACCCTGCCTTCAGGCTGTCGCCCGAACAGGGCTCCCCAGGAGGGGCTGCAGGGCAGCTGTTTGCCTCGGTGATGTTCCGGGGAGAGGGTGTTTGTCTTCTTCAGGATTTGTCACCTTTCAGCTTCAGCACCGCCACGATCACACAACAGTGACGTCACTGCTCCTGTAGTCAGTTCACCCCAGTCCACACGCTCCCAGCTAGGTCACTGGGGACAACTCTTGAGTGCCTTATCTGAAGCTGGTTTATTTAAGCTTTTCACTCTATTTGTGGTTAAAGGGCCTGGCTCCTAACTGAAATTGTGGTGGTTCGAATCCACTATCCATTCAGTGGGAGAAAGACCTGGCAGTCTGCTTCCATGAAGACTGACAGCCTTGGAGACCCTGTGGGCAGTTCCACTCTGTCCTCTAGGGGCGCTGTGGGTCAGAATGGACTCCAGGGCAGTGGGTGTGGTTTG